TGAGCTACGAGGAGAGACTACAGGAATTAAACCTCACTTTGCTGGAAGACAGAAGAGTTAGGGGGGACATGATCACCACATTCAAGATTCTAAAGGGAATTGATAGGGTAGATAAAGACAGTCTATTTAACACAAGGGGAACACGCACAAGGGGACACAGGTGGAAACTGAGTGCCCAAATGAGCCACAGAGATATTAGAAAGAACTTTTTTAGTGTCAGAGTGGTTGACAAATGGAATGCATTAGGAAGTGATGTGGTGGAGGCTGACTCCATACACAGTTTCAAGTAATTACCTAAGTGTAATTACCTAAGTGTAGTTACAGGATGAGAGCTACGCTCGTGGTGTCCCGTCTTCCCAGCACTCTTTGTCATATAACGCTTTGAAACTACTGACGGTCTTGGCCTCCACCACCTTCTCACTTAACTTGTTCCAACCGTCTACCACTCTATTTGCGAAGGTGAATTTTCTTATATTTCTTCGGCATCTGTGTTTAGCTAGTTTAAATCTATGACCTCTTGTTCTTGAAGTGCCAGGTCTCAGGAATCCTTCCCTGTCGATTTTATCAATTCCTGTTACTATTTTGTACGTAGTGATCATATCACCTCTTTTTCTTCTGTCTTCTAGTTTTGGCATGTTTAATGCTTCCAACCTCTCCTCGTAGCTCTTGCCCTTCAGTTCTGGGAGCCACTTCGTAGCAAAAAAATGTAGATATGATAGAGCCCAATAGGCTCAGGAATCTGTACACCTGTTGATTGACAGTTGAGAGGCGGGACCAAAGAGCCAGAGCTCAACCCCCGCAAGCACAACTAGGTGAGTACACGTGTGCGCGAGGAGCCTATGCCACACTTTCTAACTTCAGAATTGCTTTTAAAGACATGGATGGCGATATACTAAAGAAATTGTTCACAACTTTTGTTAGGCCAAAGCTAGAATATGCAGCGGTTGTGTGGTGCCCATATCTTAAGAAGCACATCAACAAACTGGAAAAGGTGCAAAGACATGCTACTAAGTGGATCCCAGAACTGAAGGGCAAGAGCTACGAAGAGAGGTTAGAGGCATTAAATATGCCAAAACTGGAAAACAGAAGAAAAAGAGGCGATATGATCACTACATATAAAATAGTAACAGGAATTGATAAAATCAATAGGGAAGATTTCCCGAGACCTGGAACTTTAAGAACAAGAGGTCATAGATATAAACTAGCTAAACACAGATGCCGAAGAAATATAAGAAAATTCACTTTCGCAAACAGTGGTAGACGATTGGAACAAGTTAGGTGAAAACGTGGTGGAGGCCAAGACCGTCAGTAGTTTCAAAGCGTTATATGACAAAGAGTGCTGGGAAGACGGGACACCACGAGCATAGCTCTCATCCTGTAATTACACTTGGGTAATTACACACGTGAAAAGAAAACTACAAGGTGCCGACCAGTGAGCAGAGAGCACCATGCCGGCAAGGCGAAGAAGGCACAAAACTGCATCAAAAGGCCCACCTCGACAACAAAACCTTAAAGTCCCAGCACGACCACAACACGTGCCAAGACCCAAAAAGATCAGTCTGCAAGCCAGGAAGACCCCGGAACTCCAGAAGGCAGAACCGAGTCACACACGAGGAAACAAAGCCCCCTGAACTCACAATGGGGGCCCAAGAGGAAGAAAGCTCCGGAACGAAACCAAAGAACCCAAAGGAACCCGGAATCGAACCAGGAGGGAGCCCAAACCATCACATTTGCCAGTGGAGATACACCATAGAAAGGCAAAGCACAGCCCCCCAGACAGAACCCCCAGGGAAACTGTCAAAACAGACCGAAAACCGAGGGACAAGGTGTGGGAACAAGCATAACAGCCAGGGACAGAGTCCAAACCCAAGGGCCCAGACCCAAAACAGAAAATGGAAAACCCGGTGTAAAATCAACACTCAAACGTTCCCAGAGGAACAGGAAATGGGCAGAAAACACCAGGAAGCAAAGAGACAACCGAAGAATTTAACCCCTGAAAAGAGGGGTGAAAACTCACCCCAGACGCTCACTCGCACACCCAGGCGCATGTAAACAAACCGCAACACCACCCTGGTGGCCACCCCGGGAAACCAGCAGAAGAAAATGGCCACCAGAACAGAGGGCTATGCCCGACGGAAAAGATACGAAAACACGCCAGCAAAAGTGGGACGCAAGCAGACTGGATGGGCGAAAAACTCCGCCCAAAAGCAGAAAACCCAGGCAGGGGCAAACCGCCCCAGAACTGCTAGCAGGCATCCCCCACAGCCCCGGGAACCAGCAACAGAGGCCCCGGGGCAGAGCCGTCCTCCAAGCCCTCCGCTCTTAAAGAAAAGGAAGAGTCCATGGGAAAGGCAGCAAGAAAGGGTCGCTGGTAAGACCCAGAAGCCTTGGCAGAAGGAACAGGCTCAAAAACCTCCGTCCCCAACCTGAACGGAGCAGCCCCCGAAAACCGCCCGAGTCTCGGCCCCAACTAAACCCCGCTCCGACCCCGAAACCCGCAGACGGTCCGGAGCCGGGAACAGGGAGGGAAAGGGGCGAACAGCACCTAACCAAAACAGGGTGACCTCGGGGCATCCGAGTGTGAAACCAACCTAGCATGTTGCAGCAACCTAACCTAGCTTGCAACACGGATGCCGCCTGTACTCTGAACAGTAATAACATCAGGAGAGTACTGGAGAACAAGCAGAGAATATTTCTCACAAGACTCCGAGTCAAGGTGTCAGTGACCCAACAGGCAGTATGACGGAGGTAAAAGTGGCGACTGTCACCTGGAGACAAGGGCACAGCAACCAACGATCCCGTACAAGACGGGTTGGAACCCGGAAGACATTCAATGGTCCACCGAGCCCAGATAGGGGTTTCCAGGGCCCTTAGGGTAACAACTACGGGAAGCCCAGGCAAGGTGTTGCTAACCGGGTAAAACCCAAAACTAACAAGGGGATAGAGGACAACACTGAAAACCCATGCGACATGTACAATCACGGGGGCCTAGCAGAGGGCCACCAAACACTACCAGTGGAACTATAGCCACACTAGGCAGACCCCCACCAGGCAAATGAAAATAAAACCCCCGCAAAAGTACACCGTCTCCAGAGGCAACAGGAACCGATCGCCGCTTAGGTGGCAGGTCGCGCAACACCTTGACGCCCTAACCAGCACAATACCAGTCCCTACCTAGGGCCAAACAAGGGCCCCAAGCCCCAGCTGACCCCAAGGGCGAGGCAAATGCCGAGCAGCAAGAACCTCTATGGGAATGGTTCCCGAACGCCCCAGGAAAGTTAGCCCTGTCACGCAGGGGCAGTACTCACAGGGCGCTTTAGGAAGGAAGCCCTTAAGCGCATGCAGCCCCGGTACTGACGAGGAACACCTGGCCACCGCACAACACAACACATGGCAGTGAACCCCACGAAAGGCAAACACCGCCTAGGAAACTGAGGCCAGAGAACCATCTATCCTGGTTGACATTAGCTTACGAACTGATGCTAGGCAGCTGGCGTGGTGAGGTCCAGGGCTCCCCCCTCCCCCTTTCTGGAGGGGAGGGCTGAGCGGATAATCGACACGGCAGTAGTGTGATGTTTGCTTGTTTCCTTGGGATTGTAGGGAGTTTCTACCTCTGTTTGGTTTTCTGTTTTAGTTTTTTTACTACGCGGGATTCGTTTTGTTATGCCTACCAAGGAATGGCACTTCCGAGGCCGACCAAGGTTAGGCACTTTCTGAATGCCTAACCCTGGTCGATGGCAGATAAGGAACACCCCTTAAGGAACACCCTGGTCGATGGCAGATAAGGAATATTTTCATTTTGATTTAATTATTTTGTGTGATATTGCGTTGGAAATGAGTTGTGTTGTTTACCATACCGTTCATTTCGTTAGTAAAATTATAGATGCCACACCTGTGACAGGTAAAAACATTTCTTTTTTAAAAAACAGCACCATCTGTTGCATGTATAAGCAACACACGCTGTACTAAATATGTTACGATTCCATTTCAATGTTTCAGATTCCATTGACAAATTGAATTTTCATAGATTTCAATTTTTTTTATTTTGATTTAAATATTTTGTGTGATATTGCGTTGGAATTTAGCCGAGTTGTTTACCATACCGTTCATTTCGTGAGTATAAGTATAGATGCCACACACCTATGACAGGTAAAAACATGATTTTTTGGAAAAACAGCGCCATCTGTTGCACATAAGAGCAACACACGCTATACTAAGTATGTTACGATTCCATTTCAATGTTTCCAATTTCATTGATAAATTGAATTTTCATAGATTTCAATTTATTTTCATTTTGATTTAATTATTTTGTGTGACATTGCGTTGGAATTGAGCTGTGTTGTTTACCATATCGTTCATTTTGTGAGTATAGTTTATTTTTTTCATTGTTTTTCAATTTGTTTTTTGTTAACTGTTTTTTCTTATATTTCAGTGATCGGGAAAATCAGATCATTTGATGTTCCCAATTTTTTTATGGGAACATCAGATCATTTGGGAATGCATTGGAGAAGGGAGTGGGGAATGGTGGGGAGGACAAGGAAGTTGGGGATGGTGGGGATGAGGGGACAGGGAAATGTAGAATGGTGGGGAGGACTAGAGGACGGGGGAGAGGGGAATGGTAGGGAGGACGAGGGGATGGGGGAGTGGGAGATGGTGGGGAGGACGAGAGGATAGTGAATTAGGGAATGGCTAGGAGGATGAGGGGGATGGTGGAGTGGGGGATGGTGGGGAAGACAAAAGGATGGGGGAGGGGGAAATGGTTGGGAGGACCGGGAGACAGGGGAAGGTGGCTGTGGCTCAGCAACGCGTGGCCGGGTACAGCTAGTCTTCAATATTTTTCTACTTCCTACAATTATATCATAATTATTCCAGTGTATCAAATCTAAATTAAATTAACTGTGGAGAGAGGAGTCAGCTATTAATGCAGGAAATCAAAATGACAAAATATATAGTATACAGCATACTGAATGCAGCATTAACACCAACATGATATACTGTACCTTCATCACTCTGGGGTGGGGTCGTATTCTCTGACGACCTCCGAGAAAAATTGGAGCTTCCTTTATAAAAGCTGGACTCCATGCTCGACTCCATACTTGGTTCATTGCTAGTCTTCACATCTGTTATATCGCTAGTGGAAGGATTGTCTTCAGGAATACTTTCCTTGTCAATTTCATCTAAAAGTGTATTTGAAGGTAAGTTTTCCTTCTTGGAGTCTAGCATTTCTCTATCACAATGAGTTATATTTTCACTTGTGGTGACTAGACCAGTGTTGACACTCTGAGCACCTGGTCTTCTTGACTGTGTTTTGGACTGAAGAATTTCTTCAAGTAATCTGTCACTTTGCTCAGGAGCAGGAGTTCTGTGCACAAAGGTTTTGTTAGAAAAATTTACAAATGTAAATTTGGATACAAATGTAAATTTGGTTACAAATGTACGAAATCAAAACTAATAGTATTGGTTTAAAAACTATATCATCATCATCCAGCTTTCCATCTGGCAAGTGTTAAAATTCTAAAGAAACTTTATGACTATCACAGAATGACATTGAATATATTATCTAAAGTTTTAAAAAAGAGGGTGATTCACCATGGTGCTGCTTGCAGATCAATACATTTTAAACACAGTGAGAAATTAGACATATTCCAGGGGAGTTCAGGAATGTGGGTTCAATCCAATCTTACAGCCTCACTAAGCACAGTAAATGCTCAAAACTTAACAAAATATGAAACTTACGCTAAAAAATTCTGAACACTAAGTCCTGCTACAGTATCTGCCAATAACACTACCCACAACAATATGGAATTCAGCATAATCTTCAAGTGGGAAAATCTTGAAGCCATGCAATGGGATCAAACCTGCATCCCTGAACTCCTGGGAAACATGCATTACCAATTAGACCATGATGGGCTAAAAGTATTTCAACCAGAATTACAACCTGAATTACTGGTTGAGGTACTGTTTTCCCATCATTATCCAGTTGTAGTGTGTACGCGTGACGAGTCCAAGGATGCTGGTTTGATCCCATCGCATGGCCTGAATATTTTCTCATATCTCATGTTCCTATGATTTCATTGTGTATAAACACTAAATTTTAAAACAGTGAGGCACTGATGTAGATGATTTACTAGAAGATACAAAAATCCTGATTAAACAAATCAGGTCTCTCATACAGTTCATTTCAGAAGTTTCCAATGTACAGTATATCATACATTCCAGCATACAAGACACATAATTTACAAAGATATTTTGTGGATTTCTTATAGTAGGTTTCATTGTACTGTAAATTTATTGAAAGCCATTTTCATAGTTTCTGTGGGAAAACACACTATTTTGTTTATGAAAATACTGTACAATGTATATTCGGCAGGTGGTGGATCATAAAACATGCAATCTGTGCAACGGCATATATGATACTTGCCAATGAATGAAATGAAACAAAATTATGGCACCAACATAAATAATTATATTAAAGTACCTTACCTCATAGCAGTCTTGAAGATGTGGGAAGTAAGAGCCTTTGAAACTGAATCTGCAATGCAGGAAGGAGAGTGCGATCCTGCAGACAAGCTCGGTGGAGGTGGGTCTGGTATACCTATACAGTACACAATAAGTATTTTCTTAACCCTTGTGATGCTCAGGGCTAATTAGCATTTGTCACCCACAGGCACATACCAAAAAATAAAAAAGTAAAATTATTTTTTCTTCTAAACCTGTTAATTTGTGTTCTCTGATCATGGGTAAAAATAATAAAAAACCAGCAATGAATGTAATGAAACGCCATTTTCTGGGCGAGTCCCGGAGGCTTCCTGGAGCTGATATGCTAATGTCAGATTTTGGCATCAGTCATGTGTATGGAGTTCTATGGGACTAACGGGGACCACGAGCCAGAACCTGGCCCCCTCAGAAGAGGCAAGGGGAGGAATGGCCTATAGAAACCCCCGTGTGGTTGGAAGCATTCTATGTCTGCCATCAACCGGGTTAGGCACCCAGAAAGGTAAGCGTCCGAAAACAAACCCCTATTCTGGTGAAAATTGCTACCACAAGCCAAACAAGTGGATAGAACTCCCCCCTAAAACAAACGAGCAAACAATCATGACGTCACACGTAGCCGCGCCGCTGTCTGCGCAGCTCCCCCCTCCCCAGAGGGGGAAGGGGGAGCCCCAGACCCAGCGCCGGCTATCTACCCCCAGTTCTGAGGCTGAATGTCAAAAAGTGAGGGAAAAAAAAAAAAACGCCGACTGGGAGGGAGGGAGGGATGCCGGGGAGCCTCCGGGACTCGCCCAGAAAATGGCGTTTCACTACATTCAACGTTGGTTTTCTGGGGGGAGCCCCTTCGGCTCCCCGAAGCTAACTCCCCACAGAGGAAAGTAAAGGGACCTACCCGGGAGGCAGTCGCCACTCACTCCTCAACTCTAAGTCGAGACAAACGGCTGTAACTGCCGATCCAAAGCGACACTGGCCCGGCTAGGCCCAGGCATGCGCATGAGATAACAAGGAGCCTGGACCCTGCTTGATTGCCAAAAAACCCCGCGCCCGAATGACAGCCCAGGACATGTTGCCAAAAACAGCGGCAAGAGCCGCAAACTTGCGAACATGGACACGGGGAGAGATCGCAGGCTGGCTAGCCGTAATAATCCTGCGGACGACCCAGGAGCCCCGCAGGATTAGGGAATGGCTAGATAGTGAAGGAAGCAAAACAGAGAAGGAGGGAAACCGGATCAACCCAAAGCGCGACCCAGGACACAAAAGTCGTGGCGCGCAATGAATGGTGGAAGGGTGCCACCTGACACCAAACAAGATGCACCCACGGCCAAACCAACCAAGCATCAACAACCCAAGGACCCCTCCGGAAAGCAGCCGTCTCAATCTCTGCCAAAAAGAAGGAGACTGCCGCAACGAACAACCCCATTGCCATGACCGAAGGAGCAGAAAAACTCCTGTGCCGGAGGAGAGGAGGAAGGTCACCAACCCGACCTCCAGAGGCCAAGGCCAACAGAAAAAGAGCCTAGGAGAAACAAACCAGAACCGAAAGGGCCACAACAAACTGAGAAAATAAGAGCACTTTGTCCAATGACCAGGACCGCTCAGGTGGCACATGAGCAGGCCGGAAGTGAAACAATGCCTGAGGCAGCATGCTAAACAGAGCAGAAGTAACCTCAATACTGAAAGCAAGCTGAAGCGGCTCCCCCAGAACCACACGATACGAGGCGACAGTATGTGGCAAATGACGGCCCTGAACCCCCAAAAGAGAAGGACAAGACCACGCCAACAAAACACAGAACTGAAGAAGGGACAGAAGGAAAAAGGAAGGACCGCCAAAAACCCCCACAATGCCACCAAGAGAAAGAACACAGGTGGGACACCATCAACGAAGCCACCAGACCAATGGAAAATGAGAGACCAAAGGCGGAGGGGAACCAGCCCCGCCATGGATCAAACGAGCCGAGAAGAGGCAGAGCCGGGGGAAGATCTCGGGTGCAACCACTGAGCAGGAAGAGCTGGAAAACCGAGCCGGCAAAGAAGGAGGTGGAACGTCTGCCGGACAAAAAGTCCCAACACCAGTGAGCACGCCAGGAGAACTGAGACCACGCCCCAACTGAGTCCCTAGGAAAAGGAACCCGCAAGACGCAGAAAAAGCCAACAGGCAGGGAAAGCCAGGAACTAGAAAACCAAACCTGGCAATCGGAGCCAAAGGCACAGCAACAACTACCAATGCAACCATGGACATCCACAATAAAAAACTAGAAAGCTGTCTCCAAGGAGTGACGGACCAACGGGCTGTGGTGGGTACGCGTGCCCACGGGCCGCACCAAGCAACAGCCCGGTGGACCAACTCCCACAAGCCAAGCCCGACCACGCGCCGGGCTCGGGGAGAAGAACTCCCAAAACCCCATAAAGCAGGCACAAGCAGACGACGGGAAGGAAGCTGCACGACACTGGGAGACAGAAGAACCAGAGGGGATAACACTACCACTCCAAAACTCCAGAACACCCCCAGGAACAACAGGGCACGGACTGGAGAATGAGAAGAGCGAGAGGCAAAGGACTGGAGAATGAGAAGAGCGAGAGGCAAAGCCCTCGAGAGAAAACAGATGGAGAACACCAGCACTTGTGCACACCGCCTGAACCAAAACAAGCTCCCACGGCGCATGCGCAGGACACTAAAGTAGCCTAACAGTTTGTAACCTGAGTGATTCGCTTATGAGAAGAAACAGCCCAACACACGGGAACAGAAGCCAAAAATGAGTAAGCAATGACACACAGCCGGCTCAGTTAATGAAAACAATGAACTGAACTGGAACCCAACCGGGCTACCAGGAGCCCAACTGGGCGACAAGTAGCCCAACCGGGCCACAAGCAGCGCAACCTGGCATCCCGGACCAGGAGTATGGAAGGAAAACGAGCAATGCCGAGACAGCACAGAGAGAAGATACATGAACAAAAGAACGAGACAGGGCCGAAAACCAAGAGGAAACACAGAAGAGGACCAACACGCCCCAGAAAGGACCGAAGGGAAGCCTCACCGAAAGACGACAGACATTCCAATATTACGGGAAGGAGCAAAAACCATCCTGAACCTTCGAGAACACGGAAGCAAATACAAATGACAAAGGCATAGAAAGGCCCAGTCACACCCGAGACCAAAAGTCATGCAGAACCCCAAGAAGAGGTGAACGTGACAGAGAAGTCCTGTCTCAAGAAAAAAGGGGGGAATAGCGGAGAAAAGCACCCACCGACAGGACGGAACCAATGGGCTGAAGAAACAAGGAACCGAGCCCGGGGAGGGGCCGACGCCCAACAACTCGTCCGGAGAGTGGGGAAGCAAAACCACACTCCGTGCAACTGCAAGCCCCGCCAGAGGGTAGAAAAAACCCGGTGGGGTCCAACGGGGCCTGAGGCCCCCCAAGTCAGCCCCTCCCAAACCCCAGGAACCCACACGGTAGGCCCCGGGGTCGAGCCGTCCCCCCAAAGCCCCAGCCTCAAGAAAAAACCAGGGCAAGTGTGAAAAGCACAAAGGAAGGGAGCCCACTGGCAGACACTTACAACATGGCTGGAGGAACATGCTCAAATGCCACCGTCGCTACCCCGGGAGGGGAATTCCCCGAGACCAACAGAGTCTCAAAACCATGGAAACCCCTCCCCGACCCCGAACCCACAGACGGGAAGGACCCAGATGCAGGGAGAGGGAGGAATGGGGGAAACCCGACAAGACCACCAACCAAAACGGCGCAGCCTCAGGGCTTCCAGGGAGCAAACAAACGAGCGCGTTGCCACCGAAGCCCAAAGTGCAACACCCGTGCTGCCTGCACCTACATAGTCAGCATAAGACTGCGTAACCGAGTCGCAAACAAGCAACAAAACTCACAGGACTCAGGGCCAAAGGTGTCACCGACCCCACAGGCAGCAGACGGAGGCAAGACCGAGAGTGTCACCCTGAGACAAGGGGACAAAGCAACCCTTGAACTCGCACAAAGCAAGGGGGGGGGACTCGGCCCCCCCCCTTGCTTTTTACCCCCACATCCATCGGGTCCACGCTACCCCTAGGGGTTTCTCAAGGTCCTGAGTGTTTACTATAAGACGACTTGCGCTCAGGAACAAGAGCTGCGGCAGGGTACTGCCTGGAGCAGTACCCAGGCAGGGTACTGCTAACTGGCGCCCATGTCTACCAAACAACCTTCTAAGAACTGAACCCCCAGGATGTGTACACTCACGGGGACCTAGCAGGGGGCAACCACCGGAAGAAGGAAGAGAACTTGGTACAAAAGGGGGTTAAGAACCAAAGGCAGACTTCCCCACCAGATAGACAAACGAAAAGAAAAGAAAACCACAGCGTACCCAGGCGCAACAGAGCCAGCCGCGCTGATTAGTGAAAACAAGCTGCGCAGTACTCTGCGCCCCTACCAGTGCAAACCAAGCAGTAAATGGCCTAGCAGAAGCAAGACCCAAGGAACTTGTGGAAGGTAACCCCAAGCCCCAAAGGCAGTACTTACAGAGCACCTAGGAAAGGGAATCCTAGGCGCATGCAGCCAGAGTACTGAAGACTTGCTCCCAGCCCATGCACCACCTAGAAGACAGACACCACACCCTAGGTACAGTGCTGAAACAACCACTGGAGCTGGAGCACACAACCGGTGCCTTTAGCATTAGCCGAAGAACTGGGATGTGGATTGCCAGCGTGGGGGTCTGGGGCTCACCGTTTCCCCTCCCGGGGAGGGGGGGAGCTGCGCAGACAGCGGCACAGAGACGTGTGATGTCATGCTAGTTTGCTCATATCTTTTTGGGGAGTTCTATCCACTAGTTTGGCATTAGGTAGCAATTTTAACCAGAATAGGGGTTTGTTTTGGGACGCTTACCTTTCTGGGTGCCCGATCCTGTCGACGGCAGACATAATGCTTCCAATCACACGGGGGTTTCTATAGGCCATTGCTCCCCTTGCCTCTCTGAGGGAGCCAGGTTCTGGCTCATGGTCCCCGGTAGGCCCACAGAACTCCATACACTTGACTGATGCCAAAGTCTGACATTAGCATATCAGCCTGTATAGCTCCGGGAAGCCGACAGGGCTCTCCCCAGAAAAACTAAGAAACAATCAGAGATATTGAAATAATTAGGTAATAATATCTTTGTGGCAACTCCCACCTGTCAGCTCGGGTGACGCTTACCGGCTCTCACAACGCCCACATTTTGCCAGACTTCCTCGGCCTATTGCGCCCAAAATATGTCACCTACGATTTTTTTTTATTTTTCCCGTGCTCAGGAAACACAAATTAACATTTTTAGAAGACAAAATAATTTTTTAGAATTATCTTTTCTTGTGCACAGGGGTGAAAATCTCCTTAGGACACCTTAGCAGCTTAAGGGTTAACCGCGTACAGTTTGTCACTATACACAAATAATGTAGTGGTGTACAGTATTTAAGATATACCAAGTACAAATTATAAGATAAATTACACATTAAAAATAAACTTCTTTAAAAGGTTTATTGCAACTCACAAGGAGCAACAGTTACAAGTTCAACAAACCACACCCACATAAGTCATAAATGCCAAGGCATTACTAAAGTTCATTCTAAAATCAAATTGAAAAATACTCAGATATAACTTCTGTTAAGTTACCAGCTTCCTATTCCTCAACCATTAGAGCATATTGAATAATCATAAAGCCACCAAATAATTATATATGATACATTGGCATGTGATCCACTGAAGTAATGTATATGCAAAATTGGACAACATAAGTGAGCACCACAACCTCATGGCACAGGCACTGGTCTGAACACGTCAATGAAATCTCGGGTGATACTGCCAAGCATGAAGGGGTAAATATGACAAGCCAACACTCAATCCTACGCCACCGTGTGGGCAAGTGGAAGAGCAAAATAGAATGGAACACACACATTATGCCTTTCAGAAGAACAAGCTCAGCCAGAACTATTGACCAATGGACTGCAACAACAACATACTTGGGTGCACCAAGCAGCAACATGTCCATCCCAAACCTAATCATAGCTAAAACCACCAGGTGACAAAAAACTGGTTGTAACCAGTAACCGGTCACCAAACTTCCAGTTCAGCCACAACAAGTAACTTCCTGTGGACCAAGGCAAGAGTTACTGACATACCCTAAACAAACTATCTCAATAGGAAGGTGAGGATAAATAGGAAAAATGTGACAGAGGGTGGGGACCTGACATTGGAAAATGTGTTGCCATCTGCTGACTGGGTTGGAAGCCAGCAGTTTATTGACCATTACTTGGACAATTCCTGTGATGCCATGTAGGGCCAACCCGTCCACTTAAAAATAACATCGCTTTTCGCTCGTATGCGCACTATGGCCAAAAATAGACGTAATTTTAAATGAAAACGGCTCACGAAATTGATATACTCCTGTTTTCTGTTCGAGTCCCCTGCCTTACTCGGAAAGGTTAGGAGAGGAAACTTAACCTCTTAACACTTAAAATTTTTAACTTAACAATACTTAACATTCTTCATGACATTTTGAAACTTAAGGAGAATTTCCTGCCCACCTAACCTACCAGAGGGTCCTTAACTTACTGTTTTGTAAAAAAAAAAATCCAAAATTTATTTTCAATTTTTTTTATTTTCAAATTACAGTACGTCCATATTCAGCCATACGGGCAAACAGCCAACTTAGCTGTAATTTGTAAGAGGAAAGGTTGGTAGGGCAGGGAAAGTCCGAATGTTTGTGAATCAACTTTCGGTAGTTACTCTCAGTCCCTTGAAATAGAATCTTGCTGTGCCAATGTCACCCCCAATCTATCATGATCCCACTTAATCAAACATTCAGTGATCTTGCCTTAAGCAGCATTTGTGAAGAATAGCTTGGAAATAATTTTAGCTTCTGTGGTTGGTTAATAATGGCACTGAAGAGTTCCATTAAAAACCAAGTACTGCATATCAAAAGTGATTTTTAGACCTACCATCCAGCAATGATACCGTCAGTGGTGTCCCCATTCTCTCCAAAAGATCACTGTCAGCCATATGCATACTGTCACTGTCCATGTTTTCATTCGCCGGATCTGTGATATCTACATGTCGAGTGCGTTTCTTTCTTGACTTTCTGCGTAGCTGTCCATTGCCTAGGTAATGAGAAAATTGGTTGTTTAAAATTAATTAGCATCAGTAAAGAATATTAATAGGCATTAACTATTATTAGCAAGTCATCCAATTGTGTGTACATTCCCTAAATATTTAATACAATAATTAACTACAGTACTCTACACTTATCTTCAAATAAAATGATAATACTGTACAGAATTTTTTTTTTTAGGTTTTTCTTCAATGAAATTTTACTAAAGTACTTTAATGACTTGTTTGAATGCATTCATTCTCCAAATATTCTACTTCTTGAGTTGTATTGTCGATATTGTAATAATATTTGGGATACATCTAAACACATGCATTTAATCATTTTTGCTGGTCCATCGAATTTATATTATGTATAATATATATACTGTATATATACTTATTTGAATTATACTTTTACAAGTTAAATCTTAATTAATTAATTAAATGTAAAGACCATTCTGAAATCACATCGATTCATGTTCTAACATTTTTAAATGTTTATGAAAGAAAGTTTGACTAATACATGAAGAACAATTTAACTGTGTCCATGGAATTAAATCGAGCACATTTAAACTGGGGAAAAGATTTTAAATACAATTCACACCACCTATTTTATACATTACAAACATACAAAACATTGTAAATTAACATTAATCATAGTTATGAAACATTATTTCAACATAAAAAAAATTCAAAACATTCATAACAATAACATGATACAGTATTGAAAAATAATATAATGGGTAATATCTTAACCCTTGCATGGTTCCAATCACTATCTGCCATTTCCTACTGTGCTCCAATTGCTATCTGTGACTTCCTCCTGTGCTCCAATTGCTATCTGTGACTTCCTATTGTGCTCCAATTGCTATCTGTGACTTCCTACTGTGCTCCAATTGCTATCTGTGACTTCCTACTGTGCTCCAATTGCTATCTGTGACTTCCTATTGTGCTCCAATTGCTATCTGTGACTTCCTATTGTGCTCCAATTGCTATCTGTGACTTCCTACTGTGCTCCAATTGCTATCTGCAATTTTTTTCTTCATTGGATTTCTTAACTATTTTTAGACATGCACACCTTTATGTAGTACTTTTAAATAGATGCACAGTTTAGGGGTTAATACCACCAGCTACAGGTGTACCGATGTATTGGCCTGATTTTGCAGTACTGTATCAGCATCTATAGAATTTCAAACGATACTTGGGTACCTTTTTTTGTACACAAGTTGGCATAATTCTTAATGACAAAAAATACACAAAAACAAAAAATACACAAAACAAAAAAAATGTGTTTTTGTACACAAAAATTTGTCTCGGTTTTTTTATAGTATATATCAGAGTACAGTATCAGTATACCTCTACAACAAACAGTTCTCACCTGAGCTCTTGACTGATGCAGATAATGGCTCATTCACTAAACTTGCTGGCTGCGAATCGGCCAAATCAACTATCAATCCATCTGTCTCTTGAGGCGAGTAGAGAGAGTGCGCAAGTGATCCTGATGCAGGACATACTGGGTCAATGGGAGAGCAGAGGGAGGCGAGTGAAGAGAGAGACGAGAGAAGTTCTGGTGGATAAGAGAATCCTGCAGATACAGCATTGATCCCAACCTCTTCACATTCCTGACTAGACAGTGGTTGATCATCAAATATCACCTGCAATTAAATGTCTCAATAAACATAATATAGTATGAGAGCTATAAACCATAACTAAAGCACACTTATGGTCAACGTAATAAGAAATGCCTCAATTAGAACGTTCAATATACGTTCACAGTCAAATTACAAAAAAAAAAAACGCAATGAATGTAATGAAATGCCATTTTCTGGGTGAGCCCCGGAGGCTCCTTAGAGCTTATCGGGCTAATGAATGTTATATTAGACCGGGACATTAGCAATGGAGTTCAGACCTACCAAGGACCAGCGCCAGAACCTGGCCCTTTCAGAGAGGTTTCAGGAAGCAATGGCCCTGGAAAACCCCCCTGTGATTGGAGGGTTTTCCCTATCTGCCATCAACCGGGGTTAGGCACCCTGAAAGGTAGACATAACAAAACAAACCCCACATGGTAAGAAACTTAACAAAAAAAAAACAAAGGTAGAACTCCCTACAATCCCAAGCAAACAAGCAAACGTAACACACTACTGCCGTGCCGGTCATCTGCGCAGCACTCCCTTCCCCGAGAGGGGGAGGGGGGGCCCCTGACCTCACTGCGTGAGCTGCAAAGCCTTCCATTTCGGAAGCTAAGCTTCAACAAATGCGAAAAACTGCCGATCAGTACGAGGGAGGGTTGCCAGGGAGCTTCCGGGGCTCACCCAGAAAATGGCAATTCATTACATTCAACGCTGGTTTTTTGAGGGGAGCCCCTATGGCTCCCTTAAGCTTCATATCCAAAGAGAAGGAAAAGAAAGGGCTGACCCGGTAGGCAGTCGCCACAAACTTCACAACGCGACGTCGAGACAACAGGCTGCAACCCAAAGCAAACCAAGAACACCAAGGAGCAGACATGCACACAAAATAACGGGCGGCCAGGAACCTGTACGACCTTCAAATTCCCGCGCTCAAAATGAGCCCAAGACATGTTACCAAACACGGCAGCGAAAGCTGTAAACATCCGAATGGCATGGGCGCGAGGATAGACCGGAGGCTGGCTAGAATTAATAACCCTACGGTCGACCTGGGAGACCCGAGCCCTAGAACAGGGAATGAGGGAAACCAGATCAACCCAAAGTGCATCCCCAGCCACAGCACATAGTTAACGGCAAAGCACCACAACCAGACAACACATGACGCACCCTCGGACAAACCAACCAACCATCAAAAACCCAAGGACCCCTCCAGAAAGCAGCAGTCTCATTCTTCACCAGAAAAGGAGACGGCTGCAGATGAACAAACCTATCACCCCGACCGAAGGAGCAGAAACCTCTGCGCCAGAGGAGAGCATGAAGCTCACCAATCCGACCCCCAGACGCTAATGCCAACAGGAAAAGAGGCTTCGAGAAACAATCCTGAACCGAAGGGGTCACAACAAACCTAGAAGAAAGAAAAAAGACCACTCTGTCCAAGGACTAGGACGGTTCAGGCGGCGCATGAGCAGGCCGGAGATGAAACAATGCACAAGACAGCTTGCGAAACAGTATAGATATAACATCAATACCGAAAGCAAGCTGAAGTGGCTCCGCCAGCACCGAAAGACACGAGGCGACAGTGTTAGGCATAAGAAGACGGTCCTGGAACAACCAAGATAAAAAGGACAACATCACCCTAACAGAAAGCGAAGTACAATGACGAAGACATAAGAAGAAACGGAAGGACTGCCAGGAAACTTCATACTGCCGCCGAGACTAAGCCCTCAGGTGGGACACTTAACAAGGAAGCCACCTGATCACCATAGAGATGATAAACTTAAGTCAAAAATACCATACGCGAAGACTCGAGGAGAAGATCGAACCAGCCACGTGACGTTCCGGTTCGATCTGCTGGAAGAGGCGGAGCCGCGGGAAAACCTCCGGGTTCGGACACCGAGCAAGCAGAGCCTGAAACCAAGGCTGGGCTGGCCACCATGGGACCAGGAGGGCAACTCTCCCCTGGCAAGACTCCAAGCGAGTCAGGACGTGGAGCAACAGCTGAACCGGGGGAAAGAGATACAAGAACCATCATCTCGACCAGACCTGCCGGAAGGCGTCGGCCTCAAAGGCCTCACAGTCGGGGAAGGTCACCACATACAGGGAAAGGCGCTGCTACCATGCCGATGCGAAGAGGTCCAAATCGGGGCATTCGAACATCTGGCAAACCCAACAGAAGGAGTCGGCACCGTCCGTCCATTCCGTGGAGAGGGGAATGAAACGAGACAGGCTGTCGGCCAAGACATTGGACACTCCCCGCCGGTGAACTGCTAGGAGAGCCAAACTCCGAGAACTCAGCAGACAAGTCACTCAAAGCGGCCAGCGCCAAAGACCGCATCGACCGCCCCCCCCCCCCACTCGGTTCAGACAATTTACCACCGGAGAGCAGTCCGAATGGAGCCAGATCATCGACCCATAGGCGACCCGAATCCTCCGAAGAGCAAACCACACCGCCGCAAACTCCCGCACTGTGCTGTGGGCTCGACGGAAGGCCGGACCCCACCGTCCCTGGCCGGCCTGGTAAGCACTGGTCACAAACACCCAGCCAAGAGACAACGCGTCCGTGAACACATCGAGCGAGGGCCCGGGTAGGAGCCAAGGCACTGATCCCAGAAAAAACCCTTAGAGGAAGCCGGCGACACAGCTGCCGACGTAAGGCAACTGGTGACGTAACCCAGTGATCACAAGAGAGGCAGAAGGGACGTCCCTGAAGGAACCAGATCAGCCGTCGAAGCCAAACCTGGCCCAGCAAGTAGACCATCATGGCAAAGTTCGAATTCCCGCACAAACCCTCAAACAACCGCCTCGTGACCCAGGAGCCCTCCAGAAACTGCAGCCGCAGCATAGTCTTTGAAGGAAGAGACAAGGAAGCATTCCAGGGACATCATGCATGTGCCCGGCTCCAACAGGAAATGGACCTGGGACAGAGTAGTCATCCGAAAAAAGGGGTAATAGACCCAGGGGTTCAGATGGGACAAGCCCAGAATGAACCGCAGGTCAGTGCAGTTCCATTTCGGAACTGGGTATAGGTGGGAAACCCACCTGAGGCACGAGGACGTCTAAACCACTCCAAAATGATCCGAAAGAGTGCAGGAAAAGACTCTAGGAGAAGACCAAACCAGCCCCGTAACGGACTGGACTGAGCATTTGAAAGATGCAGAGGCGTATTACCCGTGAGAAAGGTCGCGTAACACCAACACGTTTATACCATCCACAAACAAAGCGATCTCCCTCGGGCCATGCTCAGGACGCATGAGGTCCGAGTTGGCTCCACCCTTCTTTCGGGGAGGGTACCCGACAATGTTTATGTAACTATTATTTTTATTGCCGAGACAGATTATGGAGATAAGATGTCATTATAAAATTATAAAATATGTGATTATCTGGGGTAGCAATCAACCTAGCACGTTGCAGCAACCTAAACCTAGGTTGCTGTTATCTTGTGGAAGATAACAGAGCAGAGCAACCCAATGCCTAAGCCGCCTGCACCCAGATAGTGTCATCAGTGGATTGGGTGAAGTGAGTCACAAACGAGCAACACTGCTCGCAGGACTCGAGGTCGAAGGTGTCACCGACCCAACAGGCAGCATGATGGAGGCAAAAACAATGAGCGTCGCCCTGAGACAAGGGAATAGAGCAACCCTCAAACTCACACAAGGCAAAAGGGAACCCAGGGGGTCACATCCATTGGATCCACTGCACCCCCATCCCCACAGGGTTTCCCAGGGCCCTTAGACTGTTATCGCTAAGGCTAAGCCCAGGCAGGGTACTGCTATCAGGCGCCCAAGTCTATCAAATAGACTTCTAAAATTGAACCCCCAGGATGTGTCCACTCATGAGGGCCAAGCATGGGGTACCACTGAACACAGGAGATCAATACCCTAAGATAACTGGGGGTAGGGGAGCAAAAGCAGACCCCCCCCCCCCCACCAAGCACAAACAAAAATGAACAGAAAAACACATGCAAGAGGACGATGTACCCAGGAGGAACAGAGCTGGTTGCTGTAATAGGTGAAAACTAGCTGCGCAGTACTGTGCCCTACCAGTGCAAAAACTGCCACTTACCCCAAAGTAAACAAGAGAGGAAACCCCCCAACACACTTGGGGCAGTTAATCACTGAGTAGCAAAAGACCAACAGAGGTAGACCCCAAGGTGACTTGTGGAAGATAACCCCAAGCCCCAAGAGCGGTACTTACAGGGCACTCAGAAAAGAACCCTAAGCACATGTAGCCCGAGTACATACCTGTGAATATTACTCCCAACTCACACACCACCGTAAGAGCAGTACTGGACACAAGGCACAGCACAACACAGAGAATCTGGAGATGGAGCCAAACGACCGAGCCACAATCACATCAGCCGAGTACTGGGGTGTGGGATAGCTGGTGCGAGAGGTCTGGGGCTCCCCCTTCCCCCTCTCGGGAAGGGGGAAGCTGCACATGGCACCGGCGGCACGGCATATGTGATGTCATGCTTGTTTTCTCGTTTTCGTTTGGGGAGTTCTGTCCACTTGTTAATCTTCTGTAGCAGTTTTAACCAGAATAGGGATTTGTTTTGAGGCGCTTACCTTTCTGGGTGCCTGGCCCAGTCGATGGCAGGCATAGAATGCTCCAAATCACATGTGTACTTCTATATGCCATTGCTCCTCGTGCCTCTCTAAGGGGGGCCAGGTTCTGGCTCGAGGTCCCTGGTAGGCCTAGAATTACATTCACACTGACTGATGCCAAAGTCTAATAATATACCTATCAGCCTGGATAGCTCTGGGGGGCCAAAGGGGCTTCCCTCCCCAGAAAGGAGCAGAAAACCAAAGAGCCAGAGCCCAAGTGGATTCCAAGGATTGAGCGAGCACTGCCTGATGGAACATGAGACAAGGAGCAAAAAACAGAGACACTGCCTCCTGCAGGATTGGCACAAACAGCTTCAACAAGGCAACTGTCACCCGCGATGCCAAGACCAGTGCACCAGACCCAGGATCGGCACCCAGCGTCTCCACGTTATCCTCAAGGTGGGGGGGGGGAGGGGGGGGGAAGGCAGGGGGGGGGAGGCAGGGGGCGGAGGGGGGGGGGAGCTGCACAGACAGCGGTGCTGTGATTGTTGTGACATCATGCTAGTTTGCTTGTTTTTCGTGTAGAGAGTTCAGTTCAACAGTTTGGCTTTCGGTAGCAATTTTTTTAACCAGGTCGGGTTTGTTTTGGGGCGCTTAACCACGTCGATGGCAGAAAGAATGCTTCCAACCACATGGAGGTTTCTATAGGTCATTGCTCCTCACGCCACTCTGAAGGGGGCCCAGGTTCTGGCTCATGGGCCCCGGAAGGCAAGAACTCCATTTGCTTGACTGATGCCATGGTCTAATACATGCTATCAGCCGGGATAGCTCCGAGGAGCCGAAGGGGCTTCCCTTAGAAAACACCTTAGAATAGAATATTTGCACAATGTACTCGCAATAAAGTTTAATATATTCACAATACTGCAGTCTAATATTCTGACTTGTAACGGAGCATAATATGCACACAAGAGAGCCTAATATACTTGTCAGAGCATATATACTGTACTCTCAAACTGGCAGAATTACAAACTATTTTAAATGGTGGGTTCTTCAAAAAATAGGGCACAGGTGGAAACTAAATACCACACCCAAATAAGCCATATAGGCATCAGAAAGAATTTTTAATTTGTAAGAATAGTAAAAAAATAATACGTACTAATGAGTGAAGTGGAGAAGCTAGTCTCCACACACACAGCTTTGTATATAAGTATGACAGCCCAACAGGTTCAATGACTTATAGTTACTTACACCAGCTGCTTTTCATGCACCCATTTCTTTTGCATTTACACACTACCCCTTTCCGTACACAAGTTTCACTTACATAGTATATTACTCCCAGCCCTAGCCTATCAGTCCTTTCACAATTATCGTACTATTATTCCTTCCATTTACTATACTATTCACATTTCCTATACCTTCTCCCACTCATTAACCTGTCTCTTATTTCATTTTCCACACATTTTGCAAAGTACTGTACCTGATGATTAGCAGTTGCAGGATTTAACTGTCTGATAGTATGACTTCTGTAGTTGATGTCCCAGGTGAGAGGATTACCAGAGATCTTCAGGACTCTTAAGTGGGGTAAGGCACCGATGGGGGACAGAACTTCCTTCATACTTAGTACGTTGTCACGCAAGTCAAGCTCCTCAATATTGCTCATTTCATGCAAGCCTAAAAGCAATGATTATAATCTATAGCAATGTGGTATACAAAACAATACACAATACAAAAATCAAGTTTTATTGTAATGAAATTCCCTTTTCTGGATATTTATGAATACTGTACCTCAATTCTCCTTTTCCAAAATGTGCAATTGATTTTGAGATTACAGCACTAATTTGCCCTAGCAATGCCTTTTAGTAGGGATTCAGGGTCTAGTAAAGTGCACAGTGATACAGTATTAGCATTGTGAAATAAATGCATCATACACTTAAATATTTTATAGGCTGACTACCCTCTGATGATAATTTCCAGGCTAGGTTCATTTTCCAATTAAATACTCTCTATGACTGCAAAGTCCTAATGTTGCTGAAAATTAGATATCAAACCCCACACATATTAAAGAAAAATGTTGATTTAATCTGTCATTGGAATCTTATCAAGTTATGATAAGGGTCGAGGATTCGTCTCTGGGTTGGGGTTTTGTGACCAGCACTTCCCAGGCTGAACAGCATGTTGCGCAAGATTACGGCTGTGTTGCATGCCCTGAGGAGGATTATGCTTCCGCTGGGCTCGGTGCATGACTTCATTGTGCCTGCTCCCTGGTGGTTCATTGCTTGAACAGAGGGGGATCACTTAGGTCCGTCCCCCCTGTGGAGCTGGATTCTTCAGGTATCTCGGCTTATGGCTTCTCATGTTTTTCGTCTCTGCACTGTTCATGTGGTGGGTGTGTTGCATATATAGCACACATATGTAGTATATTAGGCCTCAGATAGGATGTATTAGGCCTAGGAAGGTTAAGTTTTCTTTGAAACATCAAAACAAAAACTTTTCTGGTGTGTCCAAATTCAATAGCACCGATTTCTACTTTCTAATTGCCTTTTACATCAATATATGTATGATGGTTCTCAGCGTTACTGTAAGTACTACTTAACCCTTAAACTGCGCATGGCGTACATATACGCCCTGAGTAACATGTCCCATGGTGCGCATGGCGTATATATACGCCATAGGGTGCCAGGCCTGATTCAAATGGCCCGCGGCTACACGGGGTTCACAGTAGCTTCCTCAGGGCTCTTGCAAACAGATGCCATTTTGAAAAAAAATCGTGGGCAATATTCTCAGGTGTGAGAGGCACAGTACTGTTGGAGCAACCAAGGCCGGCGCACGCAGAATGAGCGAACAGCATTGATGTTCAGCTTGTGACCACAGCATCGCCGAAAAATGTCAAAATAAATATATAATTGTTATTATTTAGCGATGACAATATTACAGATGACCAATGACTGTGATATAAATAACCAGGGTTGTGATAATAGCAGGATTGTTGTAATAATTAGCGCTGTGGGAGGAGTGATGCTGAGAGACGACAGCATCGTTTACTAACTGTGTGGCCACCTGTTATTGTTTGCATTCACCATACCAGGTCAGTGGTTCTCTATGGTGAACACAAATGTAGATACTTATATATAATGTGTGTATTAGTGTAATAACAGCAAAAGGATTATGCTGGGAGGAGCCATATGGGTGACGGAGGTGACGTCGTCTGCACGATTTGTCTAGCTGTTTAGAGGGTGGCCACTATGCTCTTTGGGCGCACTACAAGCTTAGGTGTACAGTTACGGTGCATAAAACATGTAGATATTTATATATAATATGTGTATATAGGGTAATAACACCACAAAAGGTATTGTTGGGGATGAAAGTTTAGTGCGTGTGACCTTGAAAGAGTGAGGGAGCCGCCAGCCGCCATCTGTGTATAGCGACGACTCTTAGTGCCTGAACTAACTATATCAGCTTGGCTGTACAGTTGTGGTGAACAAAATATACACATACTTATATATAACGTCTGTATATAGTGTAATAACACCACAACTGGTATTGTTGGGGGAGAAAGTTTAGTGCGTGTGACCTTGAATGAGTGAGGGAGCCGCCATCTGTGTATAGCGACGACTCTTAGTGCCTGAACTAACTATATATCAGCTTAGCTGTACAGCTGTGGTGAACAAAATATATACATACTTATATATAACGTCTGTATATAGTGTAATAACACCACAAAAGGTATTGTTGGGGATGAAAGTTTAGTGCGTGTGACCTTGAATGAGTGAGGGAGCCGCCATCTGTGTATAGCGACGACTCTTAGTGCCTGAACTAACTATATCAGCTTAGCTGTACAGTTGTGGTGAACAAAATATACACATACTTATATATAACGTCTGTATATAGTGTAATAACACCACAACTGGTATTGTTGGGGGAGAAAGTTTAGTGCGTGTGACCTTGAATGAGTGAGGGAGCCGCCATCTGTGTATAGCGACGACTCTTAGTGCCTGAACTAACTATATATCAGCTTAGCTGTACAGTTGTGGTGAACAAAATATATACATACTTATATATAACGTCTGTATATAGTGTAATAACACCACAAAAGGTATTGTTGGGGATGAAAGTTTAGTGCGTGTGACCTTGAATGAGTGAGGGAGCCGCCAGCCGCCATCTGTGTATAGCGACGACTCTTAGTGCCTGAACTAACTATATCAGCTTAGCTGTACAGTTGTGGTGAACAAAATATACACATACTTATATATAACGTCTGTATATAGTGTAATAACACCACAACTGGTATTGTTGGGGGAGAAAGTTTAGTGCGTGTGTTGAGGGAGTGGCAGCGAGTGGCTGGCTGGTGTGTGGCGGTAACTCCTCGTTGCTTTTCGACTCTCAATACCAACTTAGTGGTTCGTTATGGTGACCAAAACATGCCAATACTTATATATAACCTGTGTATAGAGTGTAATAGCAGCAAAACTATTTGTTCATTGTTTTATAAACATAATTGAATCACTAATATGCACATCATACTTTTGAGTATAGCGATTATTAACCACTTTTATTATATAAATATATTACAATACACACTATTGAATAATATTACTGCAAAAAAACTAAGAAAAAATCAATCGGAGACATTGAAACAATTAGGTAATAATATCTTTGTGGCAACTCCCATCTGTCAACGCCCACTTTTTGCCAGACTTCCTCGGTCAATTGCGCCCAAAATATGTCACCTACGATTTTTTTTTTATTTTTTCCGTGCTCAGGGGACACAAATTAACATGTTTAGAAGACGAAAAAAAAATTTTGAATTTTTTTTTTCTTGCGCACAGGGGTGTAAATGTCCCAAGGACCCCTGAGCAGTGTAAGGGTTAAGGGGGCATCTGGTTGGCATCTGGGTCCAAAAATGCAAAAATGAAAACTCGTTCGATTTCAATAAAACTTTTTTGACAAGTTCTATATGAAAAGTGTTTCATCTGGTCCAAGTTTCAGCATCGTAGCATAAATAAAAAGGGAGAAAAAAAATATTGAAGTAGTTGTGAAAATTATGCAAAAATGGTCAAAATCGATTATCAATCAAAAGTGTCAACTGAAATCATAGCTACGACTCTTTGCTATCACAATAGCATATATTAAACAAATATTATAATTAGTTTAATTGGAAAACAATTTTAAGAAAAAAAAAAAAACATTTGTTTTTTTGTTTTTTTTCAATATTTTTTTTTTTTCATTTTTTTTTCGGGCGATTTGCATCAAACTTACACACCTGACTGTACGTAAGCCTATCTGTAAGGATGCCAATTTTGGAGAAAATTGGTTGATGTCAACCTCAGCCACAGATTTTAGAACCTTAGACTATTCATTTCTGTTTTTTTTTTCAATTGACACAAACGTTTACAAAACTGATTCATTTTTTATTCAATTTACATGAAACTTACACAGTATATGTGGAGGGCATGTCTCTACATTGGGGGGCTTTCATTTTTCTCTAAGTTCATTTATTGATTTTATAATAGCAATAAACATGCCATATTTGCAAAAAAATTTTGGGGAACTTTGAACATTTGTATTAGGAAAACTAAAGATGTTTTGGAAATTCTAAAGCCCCCAATCCTTTATTATATGCTAATGTGTCAGAAAAGTGTCGCAGAATAATTATATCTGAAACGTGTGTTCTGAAGTGTGGACTTGAAAATGTGTAAAAAATGTTGGGGAAAAAAAAAAAAAAAAAAAACTCCCTTTCTATTTACGCTGCAGTACTGAAACTTGGGACAATTTCAGCACTTTTCATATACAACTCGAAAATTAATATTGGTTGACATTGAACAACTTTCATCTATAATCCTCAGACGCCCCCTTAAACAGGTGGATGGGCTGCTTCAACCAACCACCTCCAAATGGCAGCAACCTATTCAAGAAATTCTGATTAACACAATGAAAACTCAAGAGGGAGAAGGGGAGCATCTGAGACTCGTGTTCGGACACTCATTTCATACTCATTGAAAGCATGATACCTGAGCTATTCCATTTGGATGCTTCTTTAGGCAAGAGTACATACTTTACTGCAAAGGTTGAATCCTAAAATTGCAGGGCAGGGAGGAGGATGGGAAACAGGGAAAGGGGGTCTTTGCTGAAGAAATTGCACCTGTGTTAATAGTATCATACAAATAGAGAGGTCCTAACATATGTATTTTGCCAATATCAATGTGCTGTAGTTGTTTTGCCTTCATCTATTCTTCTTATTTTTGGAACAGAAAAAAATAAGATATTTTGCTAAATAATATTGTACAAATACTATTTATACTGTATAATGTATTCATATTTTGCACAAACAATAAACCATGATAAATAACACATGAGCACACGAGCCACAATACATTGAGTATATAAAATTAAACATTGGAATAATGACTGAATACATGTATATTGGAAGTATGTAGATAGATAAGTAGGTGCAGAAAACACGTCACAATAACACGGTTGAAATAATCCAATCAACACACAACACAAATAAGTTGCGTTTCAGTTCATCCGGCACCCTCATTAAATTATGACATTCTGGACCCTTGATAAGGGTCCAGAACAGATCAAAACATTGTCACTCACTTCATATGCGGGTTGGGTTATTTATTTATTAGTAGGTAGGTAGACTGAAGTGAGACTGTTCCAACTGTCCATATTTTGGACCTTTTACTGTACTGTAAAAACTATGAAACAAGGCATATTATGTTAAACAATAGCTAAATGTTCAACATACTTTACTTACCATTTATATGAGAAAACAGATTATTGTTAGCAATGAGAACAGTGAGAGAGTAGGTAGCTATAGGTGAAAGACGCGGCACAAGACGTAGCTGGTTATGACTGATGTCCAACAAGGACACAGTAGGTAGGTATTCCAGCGCTGAGGCATCATCTAGTTCACAATGGCTCAAGTCTAGTATCTGTTCATAAAAAAATAATAATATTAGAAACCCTATGATTTTACTTGAAGGTAAATCAGATACTGTACATAGTTGAGAACCAAAATTCAAAATATTAATTTGGCATGGTATGGTTTACAGTACAATAAATAAATCAATATTTTTAGTAGCATCCAAACATTAAAATATTTACCCCAAAATAAGGCGTAAAGTGTGGATGAACGACGCCTCACAGAGTTAGTCACACTATCACTCCTTTTGATAATATTCTACTTCCCTGGGCAAGTGAGAGTTTCCATCCTCCCGGCACAGTCAGGATATTTTTTGAATGCTTCCTGACAAGCCATAATAGGAGGGAAGAGAGGAAACTAAAGAATTCTTAATCCAGCCCTTACTCAACGTGTCCTCTCACTTAATGTGTCGCATTTTTTGTAGCATCAACCAATCCATTGAGAATACGATATATTAGTAAATATTAAAGCACCATAATATTGATCATTTCTTTACATCGGCCTCAATAGGTCAGCAGAGTTCCTTGGGTTCGTACGTTTCTGGTTAGGAGAAACGGTTACATTTTTAACGGTGGTAAATTAAGAGAATGAACCGCACAATGATAGTCAGAATGTAGGTTCCCTACACTGATAAACCTACAAACAAAATTTAATGCCAAATAAACCTCTTCTACTTCAATCAGCAAATAACTACCTGTAGTTGCCTGCTTGACTATCACTGTCATCCATTATCAGGTGGCAGCACCAGGTGGAGGTAGAAAGTAACACTCAGGATGGAGTTTGCAATGTCCCAGGGGAGTGAAATACTGCCCAATGCTAATGACAAATTACTTAAAGTTGAGCAAAAGTCAAGACAATAATACTGAATCAAACCCACATCTCTGGACTCCCCAGGCAAACACATACTATCGGGTATGTGACCACAAGCATAGCTCTCGTACTGAAACTAGACTACATCCAGTGTGAAAAACTCGGTCCCCCAAGGTACCATGAGCTTGCTCAGGTACTTTTCGTCATCGGTATACCAGACAGACAAGGATACAAACTATAGATTGTATCATCCTTTGCAGATGATTACACTAGAATTTAAGAAAGTTGACAATATAGAGGAGACAGCAAACCTTTGATCCAATGTTAATCAAGTCTTTCAACGAGCCACAGAAAATAACATGATTTTCATGTGGATAAGTTCCAATTACTCACTATGGAAAAAATGAAAACATCAAAGCAAAAACTACATATAATACATAGTCAAACCACACTGCTGAAAGAACAAGCAACATAAAATCATGTCGGAAGACCTTACTTTTAAAGAATACAAGAAGTTGCTGTCACAGCTGCAAGAAAAATGATGGGGGTGGATAACAAGGAACTTCCAAACAAGAGGTGTCATACCAATGATGATACTTTTTTAAGACATTAGTACTCTCTAAAGTGGAATATTGTTGCATACTAACAGCCCCCATTCAAAGTTGGAATAATTGCTGACCTGGAAAGCACGCAAAGATCTTTTACCGCTAAAATCCACTCAATAAAACATCTAAATTATTGGGACCATCTAAAAATTCTATATCTATATCTATATTCCATGAAAATAATCCATAATAATTTCCACTTGGAAACTATTAGAAGGACTGGTTCCAAATCTTCACACAGGAATAACACAAGAGACCAAGAAGAATGGCATGATGTGCAAAATAACCCAATTGAATAGGCAATAGGCATGCTGCGAGAGAACTCAATCGACATCAAAGGGCCAAGACTTTGCCAACCTTTTCAACACCCTTCTGCTACACATACGGGGAGCATAACTGGCAACCTCTCACAGTGTTCAAAAGAGAACCTGACAAGCACCTTCAAAGGATACCTGATCAACCAGGATGTGACTCTTATGTCAGGTTGCGAGCAACTGCATCAAAGAGCCAGTTTAATCAGACCAGCAACCAGGAGGCCTGGTCAGAGACTGAGCTGTGGGGATGTTGATCCTTGAAATCATCAACAGGTAGGCAACAGGTGGGTAGTTACAAGTGTGCCTGGGGAGTTAGGAAGCAGATTCAATCTCATCATATGGCCTCAATATTTTCTCAAATATAAATCCCATTCTTGTGGTTTGATTGTACTTTATGTTACCTTAAGATTGGGAAGAAGGCCAAGACTGTGATCTAGCGAATGCAGAGAGTTGTGCGCCAGTGCTGCTTCTTGTAGCTGTTCCCACATAAATTCTCCTGCCTAACAAATAAAAAATAAATCAATAAATCTTGAGCAATGCTAATATTTTAAGAGGTAAATGTACATGAATTACAAAAATTAAATATGATAACAATAAATTCAATGTCTTTCATTAAAGCTTATGATGTAACGAGATATAGTTTAGAATAAAATTTGTAAATAACCAATATTAAAAAAATAATAAATCACTTAAACATAATTGTAATTTCTGAGAGAGTTAACTCTTGCTACAGCATTTATTTGACAGCTACCTCCTGTTAGTGGCTATTTTTATATACAAAATTTAACATTTTGTGCATATGAAATCATATAAAATGATAAGTTCAGGGAAAAATAAGCACAAAATTCTAGGTGCTATAGTTTGGCTGTGGTATGCCAAGAAACATGGATTTAACCCCAGAGGCCCCTGAAAATAAAATTTCAACAAAATGTTCAGTAAAAATATCTGCAGCATTGAACATTATCAAGGCCACTACTAGAGCTGCACAAAATTATGCTTAACACTTTCGCGCTTAGGATTATCCACGAGTCGTCACCGTTTTTTATGCGTCACCGCATAACAGACGACGCCTGTAGTCCATCGAAAAAATATTTGTATAAAATCCATTTAATATCCGATCAACTTGGGAATAGTATACAAATGTTTGCCATGAAATTTACGTTTTCTCTAATAGCCGAACAGGTTATAAAAGAAAACGGTGTGGCAGTGAATCATCGTGGTAAAACAATTGTATTATTGACACGACGAGTGTAATCGACGTAGTTTTTATATATGTTGCCGGTCGAACGCATCCTTATGTGACCTTTAATACTTATGTTCTTATAGAACATTCTATTGCGAGCACATTGGTACAAAAATGAAATACATACACCGACAAATAATGTCAGGACAGTGAATTGAATATACACTTTTCAAAGCGAGTTTCGCCGATATGCTGCCGCGGGTAACACTTCGGCCACTTCCCAAATTGTTTTGGGTGGGCTACGACATTAAATCTATATTTATATGCATATGTCCGTGTAGAGAATTTTATTGCGATTCCAATGATACCACAATTAGCGATGTAGGACAACTGTAGGCTTCGCAACCATTAAGAGAGTGGAAACATTTTGTTGCTGTTTGGCGCTCTTGGCGAGTGATCTGAATAGTTTTTTATAGACAATTTCATTGCAAACACAGTGATACCAAATTTAAATACGAGCGCCTTCAATTATTGTCAGGACAGTAAAAAGAGTGTACACTTTTTCGGTCTTACCGCGTAGGCGCGCGAAGTGCCGAAAGCATCTGGGGTATTGTTTTTTTTTGAGAGCCGAGAGCGCGAAAGTGTTAAGGGGGCGTTAGGTTCCAAAAATGCAATAAATGAAAACTCGTTCGATTTCAATCAAACTTTTTGACAAGTTCTATATGAAAAGTGTTTCATCTGGTCCAAGTTTCAGCATCGTAGCATAAATAGGAAGGGAGAAAAAAAAATATTGAAGTAGTTGTGAAAATTATGCAAAAATGGTCAAAATCGATTATCAATCAAAAGTGTCAACTGAAATCATAGCTACGACTCTTTGCTATCACAATAGCATATATTAAACAAATATTATAATTAGTTTAATTGGAAAAAAAATTTAAGAAAAAAAAAGGATTTTTTTTTTTTTTTTCAATATTTTTTTGTTTTCATTTTTTTTTCGGGTGATTTGCATCAAACTTACACACCTGACTGTACGTAAGCCTATCTGTAAGGATGCCAATTTTGGAGAAAATTGGTTGATGTCAACCTCAGCCACAGATTTTAGAACCTTAGACTTTATTCATTTCTGTTTTTTTTTTCAATTTACACAAACGTTTACAAAACTGATTCATTTTTTATTCAATTTACATGAAACTTACACAGTATATGTGGAGGGCATGTCTCTACATTGGGGGGCTTTCATTTTTCTCTAAGTTCATTTATTGATTTTATAATAGCAATAAACATGCCATATTTGCAAAAAAAAATTTGGGAACTTTGAACATTTATATTAGGAAAACTAAAGATGTTTTGGAAATTCTAAAGCCCCCAATCCTATATTATATGCTAATGTGTCAGAAAAGTGTCACAGAATAATTATATCTGAAATGTGTGTTCTGAAGTGTGGACTTGAAAATGTGTAAAAAACATTGAAAAAACAAAACAAAACAAAATCTCCCTTTCTATTTACGCTGCAGTACTGAAACTTGGGACAATTTCAGCACTTTTCATATACAACTAGTAAAATAATATTGGTTGACATTGAACAACTTTCAACTAAACCTCTGACGCCCCCTTAACTAACAATTTAAAGACAGCATGTAAAGCCATAATATTGGCTCTGCCAAAAATACCCTTATGCAGGTCATATATTTTTGCCCAACCCATTCTGTAGATATAGCTAAAGTATTACACAGTAGGAATCTGAGATATTGAATGTTAACTAAAATGAGGCACATACCTTGTCAGCACCACAACGAATGAAGAGGTCACCTAGTCGATTTAGTCCTTTGACTATAACTATTGATCGCAGCGTAGGTCGCAATGTTTGTAGAGCTTTGAGACTAACGATAGGTATGTGTAAGAGCTCTAAAGCCTGTAAATTTCGGAAGCATCGTAGACTTATAGTTTCACTCTGTGGAAGACTGTGCCCTGAAATATGAAAGTTGTATCATTTTTTTATGAATAAGGGTAATGTAATTATAATTTTCACTATTACTGTACTGTACTATAGTGCAATCATCTCACAAAGTACATTTCCTAATTTCCTAACATGCACTAATTATATTCCAATATAAAATGCTGAATACTATGGGAAAATTGACTAGGGCAATGAGGTGGACACGAACATACGATCTTGGCATTGCCAAGCCGCATACTTTACCACTAGACCACCGCGACTTGCAAGTCATACAACCAGATTTCTACTGAAATCACAGGAAGTTTGGAGGCTTCTGAAGCCAGTTCATGTTTTACATATGACCCACAAGCCCTTGGGTGGAAGGGCAGAGTAGTCCTTCACATCACATTAATGTGATTTGTGTGCTTTTCTGAAGTTGGGGCGTAAGATGTAGGACCATTCTGCCTTCCACCCGAGTGCTTGTGGGTCATACCAGTAGAAATCTGGTTGTACGAGTTTAACAAGTCAGATGGTGGTTTAGTGGTAGAGTATGTGGCTTGGCAATGCCAAGGTTGTAGGTTCGCATCCACCACATTGCCCTAGTGGATTTTCTCATTGATATACATCATGTTAATGTGATTTGTGTGTGTGTTGCTGAATACTAAATACAGCACAAATACAAAAAACCAGTGTTGAATGTAATAAAACGCCATTTTCTGTGTGAAACCCGGAGGCTCCCCGGAGCTTACTAGGCTAACATGCTAATGTCAGACTTTGGCATCAGTCATGTGTATGGAGTTCTGTGGGCCTACTGTGAACCACGAGCCAGAACCTGGGCCCCTCAGAGAGGCATGGGGAGCAATGGCCTATAGAAACCCCCATGTAGTTGGAAGCATTCTATGTCTTCCATCGACCGGGTCAGGCACCCAGAAAGGTAAGCATCCCAAAACAAACCCCTATTCTGGTGAAATTATTGCTACCCAAAGCTGAACAAGTGGATAGAATTCCCTTAAAAGAAATGAGCAAACTATCATGAAATCACACTTTGCCGCGCCGCTGTCTGCGCAGCTCCCCCCTCCCCGGGAGGGGGAAGGGGGAGCCCCAGACCCCTAACGCCGGCTATACACCCTTCAGTTCTGAGGTTGGATGTCAAAACACACGAAAAAACGCCGACCGGGAGGGCGGGAGGGAGGGATGCCGAGGAGCCTCCGGGTCTCACCCAGAAAATGGCGTTTCATTACATTCAATGCTTGTTTTCTGGGGAAGCCCCTTCGGCTCCCCAGAGCTAACCACCCACAGTAGGAAAAACTTAGGGACTTACCCAGGAGGCGGTCTTTGCTCACTCCACAACGCGAATCCGAGACAACTGGCTGCAACCGCTGACCCAAAATGACACAGGCCCAATGAGGACCTGAGATGTGCACGAGGTAACGAGCAGCCAAGACCTTGTTCGACCACCAAAAGCCCCGTGCCCAAATGTCAGCCCAGGACATGGTGCCAAAGATGGCAGCAAGAGCAGCGAACTTACGAACATCATGGGCACGGGAATAGACCATAGTCTGGCTAGCCTGAAGAACTCTGCGGACGACCTGGGAGGCCCGCGCAGGGAAGAAGGGAAACCGGATGAACCCAAAGTGCATCCCCGGACACAGAAGCCGTGGCGCTCAAAAACGGCGAAGAGCCGCCACCAGACAAAACATGATGTACCCCTGGCCCAACTAACCAAGCATCAACAAACCAGGGACCCCTCCAGCAGCAGCAGCAGCAGTCTCATTCTTCACCCGAAAAGACGGAAACGGCTGCAGGCGAACAAAATCAACACGAAGACCCAAAGAGCAGAAACTAATGTGCCGGAGGAGAGCATGAAGCTCCCCAACCCGACCCCCCAGAGGCCAATGCCAACAGAAAAGGAGCCTTGGAGAACAATCCTGAACCAAAGGGGCCACAACAAAAACCGAAACGGGTGCACGCGAGCGAATAATGGGTGAGAAGCGGGACAAAAAAGTCACAGCTCAACTTCCGCAAGCACAATTAGGTAAGTACCGTACAGAGAATCTAATGTACAGTGCTTCCTCAATCTAACGAACCCCGCTCTATCGAATTCCCGGAAGAGCCGAACAAATTGAATTCGGTACCAAATGTTCAGTGGAACATACAAATGTTCGATTAAGTGAGGAATGTTCGTCCAAGCGGTCACCGAGGCCGAGCGTCGGAGCTGGCTGTCACCAACTATGATTCGCCAGAGTGTAAACAGTTATACATGTACAGTATAGTGTTTTATTATCCTTAGCCATTGTTTCTTGGGAGAAATGGTGATAAAATGGTGTCAGGAGGGTATTGGTGAGAGAGTTGTTGTCAGGAGGCAAATGGTGTCAGGGGCAGGTGGTGTAAGTTACGTATTCTCATGGGAGGCAGGTTGTCAGCCAGGCAGCTGACAACCAGCTGAAATGGTGATAAAATGGTGTCAGGAGGGCATTGGTGAGAGAGTTGTTGTCAGGAGGCAAATGGTGTCAGGGGCAGGTGGTGTAAGTTACGTATTCTCATGGGAGGCAGGTTGTCAGCCAGGCAGCTGACAACCAGCTGAAATGGTGATAAAGTGGTGTCAGGAGGGCATTGGTGCATGTGAGAGAGTTGTTGTCAGGAGGCAAATGGTGTCAGGGGCAGGTGGTGTAAGTTACGTATTCTCATGGGAGGCAGGTTGTCAGCCAGGCAGCTGACAACCAGCTGAAATGGTGATAAAGTGGTGTCAGGAGGGCATTGGTGCATGTGAGAGAGTTGTTGTCAGGAGGCAAATGGTGTCAGGGGCAGGTGGTGTAAGTTACGTATTCTCATGGGAGGCAGGTTGTCAGCCAGGCAGCTGACAACCAGCTGAAATGGTGATAAAGTGGTGTCAGGAGGGCATTGGTGAGAGAGTTGTTGTCAGGAGGCAAATGGTGTCAGGGGCAGGTGGTGTAAGTTACGTATTCTCATGGGAGGCAGGTTGTCAGCCAGGCAGCTGACAACCAGCTGAAATGGTGATAAAATGGTGTCAGGAGGGCATTGGTGAGAGAGTTGTTGTCAGGAGGCAAATGGTGTCAGGGGCAGGTGGTGTAAGTTACGTATTCTCATGGGAGGCAGGTTGTCAGCCAGGCAGCTGACAACCAGCTGAAATGGTGATAAAATGGTGTCAGGAGGGCATTGGTGAGAGAGTTGTTGTCAGAAGGCAAATGGTGTCAGTTGTTAGGGGGCAGGTGTTGTCAGTGGTAGAAGTTGTCAAGGGAGGCTGGAGTAATGCTGTACAGGTACAGTAGTGGTGTCAGTAAAGGCTGTAGAGGCAGGCACCACATGTGACTGGCGGCTCCTAGCTCCCTCTCCTGCCCCCCCCCCCCCACCCTCCTTCCTGCACCTGACCACCAGAGACCAGCCACTACTCCTCTCCTCTCTCGTCGTCAGATGCCAAGAGTCAATTTAATAATAATTATCGCATTATCTACACTGAGAATAGCCTTTTTATTAGAAAAATGTCATATTGGCGCAATAATAATGGTGAAAATTGTGATATATACAGTATATATTTTAAAGTTTCAACACATTTCCTTTTCACTGAATTTTTAATAAAATTGGGGTGTAGATAACAGTTGGCTGTGTGTGTGTGGCCGGCAGGTCGCTCCTTGAGCCATTGGGGGGGGGGGGGGAGGGGGGGGTTTGTTTCCTGGATCTCTCCCTCCCTCCCTCCTCTAACAGCCTACGTACTGTATTGTAATACATTAGGTTTTATGTAATACAGTACTGTACTGTATAAAATGAATAAAACTTCAAAACAGACAATATTTTATTAATTATAACAACAAACAATATTATTTGAAAACAATTTGTAAGCCTATTTAGATTAAATTTTGAGTAGGCCAATAAAACAAGCACAGGTCGTGTAAACGTTAGGCCTTGGTGAGGTGGCTGGCACCATTTGTCTCCCCTCCTCTCAGTGTGAAAACGTGTTGCTCGCGCGTGAAGGATAATTTTGAACAATTTTTATCGTTTGAACTCTTATACTCTGTCAAGATGTCTCAGAGCAGCATTTGTGGTGTTCAAGATTTAAAACGAAAGAGAAAATATTTGTCAATTGATCAGAAAATTGATTTAATAGAGAAAGCAGAGCGTGGATACTCAGTCACCCGTCTCGCCCAAGAATTCAACATCGGTAAAGCTACAGTTTGTGATATAAAAAAGCAGAAGGATAATATTAGGAAATTCGTTGCTCAAAGTCAAACTCATGCAATAGGCAACAGGAAAACATTGAAGCCTGCTAAATATACGGATTTGGACTCTGCTGTATTCAAATGGTTTACACAGCATCGTGCGAAAGGAATTGCTGTTTCAGTTGATTCTATTAGAAATGCAGCTGAAAGACTTGCTGAAAAGTTAAACATTGACAATTTCAAGGCTAGCACTGGATGGGTATGTCGATTTAAAGAGAGGCATGGCATCATTAACAAGAAAATTTGTGGCGAAGCCTTAAGTGCAGATGTAGGAAGTGTTAATGCATTTAAATATAAACTTTCTCAGCACATGGTATCTAATAATCTAAGCTGGTTTCAAGTGTACAATGCAGATGAAACAGGCTTTAACTGGAAATGCCTTCAAAGAAATACTTTGGCCTCTAGGCTTGAGGAGAGTATTCCTGGTCGCAAGGTAAGCAAGGAAAGAATTTCAGCATTATTGTGCGGTAATGCAGATGGCAGTCACCGAACAAAGTGCGCAATTGTTGGGAAATCTGCCAACCCCAGAGCATTGAAAAACTGCATGAACAGATTACCTGTCGTTTACTACAACACCAAAAATGCCTGGTTCACACAGATTATTTTTGAAGACTGGTTCCAGAATCACTTTTGTAAAGAAGTAAGAAAGCATCAGATCAATGAGCGTGGCATTCGTCCTGCTGATGTAAAGGCAATGCTGTTGGTTGATAATGCCCCAGCTCACCCCATTGCTAAATTAACATCGCCTGATGGTAAAATAACATGTATGGCTTTACCACCAAATACTACATCTTTAATACAGCCCATGGATCAGGGGGTTATCTATGCTCTCAAACGGCTTTATAAGAGAGCTATGAATGTAGAAATAATGGAAGTTCTGCTCTCTCAGGAAGACGAGAGGCTTAATAAGGATACAAGAGCTAGTAGAACACTAGAAAACTTCAAGAAATATTCAATTAAAGACGCTATTTACATCTGGGCCAAACAATGGAACGAGTTGAAGGTCACCACATTAAAGAACGCATGGAATAAAATTCTGAGTCCGGTACCTGGTGAGAATGAAGACGAAGATGACTATGATTTTGAGGGCTTTGATAATGCGATTTTTGAGACATTAAGAGATGCTGGCGAGGAAGATTTGCAACTTTCTGATGTGACTGAGTGGTTAGATAATGATGCTGATGATCCAGGTTATGGTGAATTAACTGATGATGAGATTATTCAGTGTGTTACTGGTAATGGTGATGAGGATGCGGAAGAGGAGGAAGATACCTGTAGCATGTTACCTATTCCATATGCTGCATCATTGCAAAACCTTAATCAGCTGCTTGATATGGTTGCTGTAACTGATGATGAAGACGTGGCAGATTATTATCTACACCTAAGGGGATTGAAAGATATTATAATGAAGAAGCTCATAATGAAGAAACAAACTAAGATTCAAAAGTTTTTGGTACAGCTTAACAGTAGGCCTACAGGACCAGCACCCAGCACTAGCAAGGACTCACCTGAGGATGCCCAGGCAACTGGACCAGCACCTAGCACTAGCATGGACTTACCTGAGGATGCCCAGGATACTGTACCAGCACCTAGCACTAGCATGGACTCGCCTGAGGATGCCCAGGATACTGGACCAGCACCTAGCACCAGCAAGGACTTACCTGAGGATGCCCAGGCAACTGGACCAGCACCCAGCACTAGCCATAACTTACCTGGGAGTGCCAATTGAGCTGTACAACACAGTTCTAATGACATAAATGTACAAAGTGTAAAAAGTGTAGTTTAAGTGATACAGTACAGTATACGTTTACTTAAGTACTGTAGTGTGATTCTAGTGGTTTGTACTTTATGTACAGACTGTAGTGTATAATGTACATTTGTTAGAAAAGTTACTGTTCATTAATGAATTTATATTCATATCATATCTGGCACTCTCAGGGTATTGAGGCTAAAAGTCTGCACTACACAACTCAACTGTTAAGGTAAGTACAGTAAAACACAGAAACAATTTATTGCTAGATTTATAAACTAGATTTTAGATTTAGAAAGATTACATAAATTAAGGTTAATTTTTTTTTTTTTTTTTTTTTTTTTTTTTTTTTTTTGGGGGGGGGGGGGGGGGGGTCAGAGGGGTTTTTTTGGGGCCGGACGGATGGAACGAATTCCGCACTGGAACGAATCGGCCTCGCCCCATATAGTTCGTTCAAGTGAGGACACACTGTATATAGAAGGGATAAGCCAGGCCCTGAAGACGTGCAAGGAAAGTAACCCAGATAAGACTACGAAAATGGGGCCATGACCCCCCCCCCTTTGCAACCATTAACCCAGATGAACAAGTTAAGGCCACAGGAAGCACGGAAGGGCCAAACAAAAATCCACAACCCATCCCAACACACATCTACAGCATGAAAACTGCAGCAAAATGTTACCTCAAAACATCCAGACAGGAACACTTACCCCATAACATATACCCACACCAATGTACCTCGTAACCAGGTGGAGGTAGGTCCCCTATCTGGACTAAAGCATGGGCTGGACATGCATAAGAGTGGGACTGGATGGGTATAATAGGAGCTGCCTCATATGGCCCAATAGGCCTGCTGCAGTCAACTGTGTTCTGATGATCTTATATACGTATCCCAAAACCACAAAGCACCTGGCTGAAAGAGATGCCAGATCGCATAAACTCGTTTGCAGAACGTAGGCACGAACGTGTCATGACACAACGTAGCCGAAAAGATTCCGGGAGCACCGCCAGTGGAAGAAGGTAGAGCTGCACATGCAGGAGAAGAGTAGGGTAGAGGTGAAGGAGGAGCCCTACACCCATACACAGGGAAAACCCAGCATCCTCCCCATAGCAGCAATCTAGAACGCCCCCAGGAGCAACGGGGCACGGACTGGAGAATTGAGAAGAGCGAGAGGCGAAGTACCAGAGAGAAGAGACGCAAAACCCCAACACACATGCACACCGCCCATACCAAAAACAACCACAGCGCATGCGCAGCAGGGATGCCAGATGTGGGTCGTCAGAAGTTGCGAGCTGAAGAAGAAACCACAAATGTGACTAGAAAAATAGGCAAAATAGTGTTGTTAATGATCGAATCCCATATGAGAGTACAGTACACAGGGCAGCCGCCAACCATAGTCGAAAAGAGCAGGAAAGAGCAAAAAGAAACATAGCGCAGCTTCCCATTTGGGCTACAAGGAGCCCAATCGAGCTACAAGGAGCCCAATCTGGCAACCCTGTGCAGCGCAGGGACAGTGCACGGAGAGAAGAGAAACAAGCGTGAAGCACGAAGGCACGGAAGGCAAAGTCGCACCCGAGACCAAAAGTCTTGCAGATCCCCGAGAAGAGGGGAACATGACTGCGAAGGCCCATCCTAAGAAGAAGGGTAGAGAAACGGATCCTCCGACAGGACGGACCCGACGGATCCAAGGGACAAGGAACTGATCCCGGGGAGGGGCCGACTTCCGAAAACATGTACAGTGAGGGGGGGAGGGGAGAAAAAAAACACTCCTTGTAACCGCAAGCCCCACCCAGAGGGCAGAAAAACGCAGGCGGGGTCCAAACGTCAGCCCCTCACCAGCCACGGGAACCCACTAGGCAGGTCCCGGGGTCGAGCCGTTCCCCCAAAACCCCAGCCTCTAGAAAAGCCCTGGCAACCAGACAAGAACTAAAGAAGGGAGCCCACTGACAGACTCAAACAACACAGCTGGAGGAACAGGCTCGAATGCCTCCGTCAATACCCTGGAAGGGAGAATCCGCAAGACCACCCGAGTCTCAAGACCAACGAAGCCCCGCCCCTACCCTGAACCCACAAACGGTAAGGATCCGGATGCAGGGAGGAAAGGGGGGAGTTGACCATAACGGGGAAGAGACAAGGGGGCGCGGAAGGAACAAAAACGGGGCAGCCCCGGGGCTCCCAAGGAGCAAACTACCTAGCACGTTGCACCACTGAAACTCAACTTGCAATGCCCATGCTGCCTGCACCCACGTAGTCAGCACAAGACTGGGTAATTGAGCCACAAACAAGCAACAAAACTCGCAGGGCTCCGGGCCGAAGGTGCCACCGACCCCATAGGAAGCAGACGGAAGCAAAACAGTGAGAGTCACCCCGAGACAAGGGGACAGAGCAACCCTCGAACCCGCACAAAGCGAGTGTTGGGGAGGACCAGGGCCACATTCATCAGACCCAAGCGCCGCCTCAGGGTTTCCCAGGGTCCTAAGCAT